AGGATGATTGATGAAATGAGACCAAGACGGCAAGGGAAGGCCCATGCGGATCATAAAGGCCCCGCGAGAGTCCTCAACATAGAATAGGGGCATACAACATCCAGTGATCGGTGAAAGCGCCTCAGCTCATCACAGCTCAAGGTGCTACCGCACTGCCCGAACTCACCAAGTCTACCCACCCAGCACATTGCGATTCCGGGCAGACACGGCCGAGTCAATTCTCCCAGCTGGAGCAAGGAACACACTCCCGCAACCCTGAGCCTGGATAACTAAGCCTCGATTCCCCACCCGTGGATGCTTTAAGGGCATGCTAGGGCACCAGTCTGGTGTCGTTGTTCGCTGTTGGCACTTGGTCCTGCAAGCGAGCCGATCATCAAGGTAGACCTGCCAGACTCTGCGATTCATGGAGATCCCGGCATGACGGCTTCGTGCTTAATGCTGGAGCCTTGGCATAGGGATTGCAGGAAGGCTGCAACGTCAAGGAAACTTCTTCTCCGACGAGATCCCGGGCACTCAGTATTGACAACTCGAGATGAGCAGCAGGTCCCAGCGTCTCCACCTCAATTGGGGCGAGAGACAATGCAAAGGCCGCAAGCCAAGTTTGGGAGCGCGGAACGTGCACGCAACCATCTTGTCCAGTTACTGGTTGCTACCCGGGTGCTGCACGATCAGGGTGGAATATGCACCTCCATCGATTAAAATGAAAGTCCTCTCGGGGCAACTCATTCGCCAATACCTCCGGCCACGTCTGCGCAGTCTGTAGGTTGACGAGTTTGATCTGAATACGGCGCTGCCGAGATGCAGGGCGAAGTAAAGGCTGATCTTGGCCTGTCTCTTCATCAGACCATCCTCGTTGCGGAACTCGTCTCAAGCCATGCCGGTATTCCTCCGTGAACACCCAAAAAAATCTTCAGAGGTCCTAACCTTTTGGATGCTTTTGGCCTTCCCGGGTCCTGTTTGGGGATCTTCTGCTTCGGATCGAGGCTGGGGTCCAAGAGCGAAGTGAAGCCCTTCTCGGCCCCCCAGCGTCTCTTCCTGACGGTTTCAGGCTTCATGGATCTTCATCGCCTTTAGGACGTTTCTGGCTTAAGACGCAGCACAAAGTGTCAAGATCAAGATGTGGAGGCGTCAAGTCCAGTTGCCAGCAAGCTTCTCCTCCTCTGCAACCCGCGGGTTGGATGCAAAGACATCGTTGGCCAGTGTTTGGAACTCAGAGCCCGAAGCACTTGCGTCCACTTGGCCGGGTTCCTGCACCTTAAAGGGGGCGGAGCTTCTCAGGGGTCACCAGCTGTCTGGTTCCTACGAAGTCCGTCTGGCGAACGCCATTTATATCATGTTACATCCAAGTCTCTACCCCTCCTGGCGATCGGCTCAAGGATGCCATGACAGTGATGCAGGGCTTCGGATCATGGCGCCATAGGAGGCGTTTGCTTGCTGATGTTTTGAAGTTGTGCTCCCCACTGGTCAGGCTGACATTTCGACATTTCCTTTCGCAAGTCACGGGAGATGCCTGAAACCGCTTAGGCTGATGAGCCGAAGGCGCAGGCCCGCAGCTCACATCAGAAACAGATCGGCTCTCGAAACATTCACACTCCTTGCTTTGTGCGTCGTACAAGCCCTGGTGGCCAATTGCACCTCGCGATCTGCGCTGAACCAGAGCCGTGAGCTGGACCTCTGCGATGCCCAGAGACACAGCATCGCACAAGTCTGCAAATCAGCAGCGCCTTAAACCGTGTGGGCCTTTGGTGAGTTTTTGTCTTTCCGAAACACCGACAAGATCGTGATGAGTTTCTTGTATGAAACTATGACTAGAAGTGGAAAGCCCGTCAAGGGGCAATGGTCTTTGGCCTGGGTGATGACTTGTCAGATTTCAATGGCGAGGCATCGGATGCAGTCTCACCAGTGACTATCCAACAGTTACAGTTGTCTGCAATCCGCTTCCAACCTGCAGTGCCAGCCGCCGCTCTTCCGAATTCGGAGCTTCTGCGACTGCCTGCTGAGAATGGGCCTGGGGCAGGGAGTCGCGGTTGCCGGATGTTTGCGTTGTGGTCTAGGCACACCAACAAGCCTAATACTTTCACGTTGATTCATGTGTTCACTGCAATTCCGTTGGGTGGCGGACCACAGCAAGGTCCAGATCGGACAAGTCCATGTGACAGACAGCCAACATGCGAAACAGCCTGAGAATTGGTTTATCCGATGATTCAATGTGTCCCAACTGCCACATGGCTCGAATCAGCAAGCCAACGCCTGCATTTCTTGGATGAGCCGCCTGTCAAAGTGTGACTTTGACAACGTCGGCATCACAAAGCCTCTTGAAGCCCAGGACACCGCTAACATCTCCCTGCAACCTTCTGACATCAGACGGTAAACGGTGAATGCGACCACTGCGCCGCCTACTGGCACCGCTGCCACCGCGAGGTTCAGCAGTTCAACCGCTTCCGTAAAGTTGCCCGCAGAGTGATGGGAGACAGCCTGTCATCCAGGCGAGGTGCAGTAGCACAGCACAGCTATCCAACGGCCCTGCCTGTTTGTGGCAGTGAAAAAGCAGTGCGTCCAACCTTGCAGTTCTGGGAAAGGGACGGCTGCTGCACGCACAACACGGAATGAAACGACGTGAGGATATCAAATCTGCCGTTCAAGCAAAGTTGTAAGCTCTCAGGATTCTGCTGTGCTGGTCGAATCTCAGGACGGAGGGCAAGCAGCTCGCGGACAGCCGCGAGGTCTGCAAAGGCTTCCTTGTAGGTCGCTTGCCGAAAATGGGCATCGGCCATCCACAAATTTGTCTGTGCCGCAAGCTCTGCCAGTTTGGCATGGCAGCGCTGTGGTTGCGCTCTGAATGGTTGCAAGGCTTCCGCGAAGCAGAAAAGTGCTTTTTGGTCGTCGGACGCCAGGACCCATGCGCGCCCGGCCAGTGCCCAGTGGATCGCCAGCATCTCCTGACTCACACTCTCACTGGAGCCTTTAGAGCCCGCAGCGTAGAGCTCGCAGGCCAAGTTTCGGCATTTTGCATCTTGCTTCTTCTCGGAAGTTGCATAGCCCAAAGCTGCCCAAAGGCGGTGGCCAAGGCTGCACAGCTCCGTGCGATCTGCATCGCCTGCCTGCATCGCCGCGATCGCGACTAGCGGGGCCTTGGAATCGCGGGCAGCTTCAATCTTGGCATCCTCCTCAGCAGTGAGGGGCCGAGACTGCAGTCTCGCAGCTTCGACGAGACTCACAAGCGCTTGTAGTTGCTCTATGGGCGTTTCAGCTGGCTTCGGCACCAAGGGCTCCATGCAGATTTGTGGGCAACTTTCTGCCATGGCGCACGGCCCAATCGCAAGTAGCGAGACGAGGTAAGGTACTGAAGCAGGCCGTGTGACTGTGCTTATGTCGCATGTTGTGGCTTTTCGAACAGGCTAAAGCTAACGAGGGTGATGGATGCGTGACCGTTGTGTTCAAAAGCTGGCTTGCCCCCTCTCGATGTCGTCCAACTTGAACTCCGTACCTTGGAATGGCAATGAGGAACGAGCGAGAGCGGCTCGGCTTGGCGGAGGCGCCGTCCCAAGTTCACGGACATGCTGGCAGCAGCCAGAAACTTGCTGACGCTTTTCAGTAATCCCGTGAGCACACAGGCGCCCACCACAGCCCTCTGAGGGCAGGAGTTCTGGAGACACGCCCCAAGTGATTGTCTCATTTGAGGGTCAAGATGTGCTTGTCCGAGAAGACAACTGAAGGAAAACAGTAGACCGGGCCGCAAACATCTGAAGGAATCAGCTTGGCTGTGTCTTCCCTCCGCAAGCTTCATGCTAGACTTACAAAACTGATGCCCTGGTCCTAGCCGTCACGAGAAAGAACGACGCCTTGGCTATTGGCTGGCATGCAACAAGATGCTGCGAATCCCTGTGTCCATATCTACTATGCAACCAAGACACGTCATCGCACAAGCTTGACTTTGAGCGCTGCAGCGCGCAGCCTCAGTGAGTGAGGCGGCTCCAACTGGACAACCTGTGCACAACGATGGCACTATTTCTAGGCTTCAACCTGGCTTCACCTGGCCAGTGACGCTAGTGGCCCATCTCTCCAAGCGTGTGTTGAAATTCGGCATCCTGTCAGACGTCGAATGCTTTGCAATCGTAGCAGAAGAGCCTTGAAAGTGTGAAGAAGTCGTGGCGATGAGAACTTCATCTGGCAGGTCCTCAAGTGCCTTCAGCTCTCCGAACGCAGGGCAGTTCCTCAGCCGAGGGAGAAGATACTCGGAAGCCTCTGGATGAGACATGACATAGTGACTTCACAAAGAGCTTTCTATGCGAGGCACTCTAAACCGATGGACGTGAGCAGCTCCACTCCTTGTGTCCTTCGGTCCCTGAGCAAGTGTCTGCGAGACTGCAACTCAGACGTCAAGCACTCCGGCCTTGGAACGAAGGTATACGGCAATCGAAAGACTGGCTTAGCAGCACCAAGCATCATCAACATGGTGTTGACACCTCATAGAGATGGGCAACAGGCAGGCGATGGGACACGAGCAGGTGCTGTGACTCATCGCACCGAGCCCACCACCAATTGGGTTTGGATCTGTGAAAAGCCTCATCGCAGCATCAACAAGTGGCGCTGCTTCGGAAGCTCCGGAGCCCTTTGCATTCTTACCCGCCCTTGTTTACAACTCAGTGCCGCGCCACTTGTATAGTGGCTGCAGCTTGGCATCTAGAGCATCATCCTCCGGATCAGAAGTTCGCTGGAGCACCACACCGCTTGCACATTGTCCAGCGTTCAAAGTCCTTCTCTGTCATAAGCTTCTTGACCAGAGCCGGCACAATGTTCGACCTAAGCAGCATGCTTCAGTTCACTTCGGGCATACTGCAATGCTTTTGCAGGAGGTCCTTCGTTGATTTACCGTTGGAACCGCGGGATCTCTGCTTGTTCAACGGCTGCTTTGCCATCGATGCCTTGCGTCAATCCTGAACAGCATGCTCGCTTGAGGCGCCCAGGTCCCAGGCGTGACAGAAATGACACCAACAGCTCCATGCTGATGTCTCGATTCGTGCATCCTCGAGTTCTTGTAGTTGCTTTCCAGGGCCAGGACTTCGGACCCAGCTGAGGTAGTGGCTGGTCATCGTTGCCAGACCAGCAGCAAACGCCCATACTGCTGTACTCCTTTGCATCAAACGCCACGAACCCTTTGCGGGCCTGCTTGACTGCAAACTCTCCCTGTCTACGCTTGCTTGCTTTAGCTCAAGCGATTCTACGGGCATCCTTTGCGTGAGGGATTCCACATTACGAGCATCCTCCAATTTGTTGGAATCACCGCTTGCTGTTTCGAGCATCGCTGACACAAGACAATAATTCAGAACGGAGCCATGCTAGACTTTTCAAAGTGCTGGGCAAATCGGTTTGTGGTGCCGCTCTGTGTCACTCTGTCAAACTGGCGATAACTTCGGACAGAACGGAGTCAAGGTAGTGATTCAGGACGAGCCTTGATGCGCTCGTGGCCCATGCACTCCTGCACGAAGCAGGACCGGAGCATGCAGCATGTGCGTTTGTTGCATGCACTTCCTTTCAATGTATGGTCGATGAGCTCCTTGACGCCCACAAAATTAGGGTGATCCTTGATCTTTACCATCACGCTGGACTTGATGTCCTGATGAAGATCTCATGAATAAGCATGCAGCAGAAACCTCGTTCGGTTGTCCTGCCCCGTTCGCCCCGGCACCTGAGACGTTTCGTGGGAATTCAGTTGCAAGCTCCCTCCGGCGTTCTCTGGGCGTCGGAGCATTGTAGATAAAGGCTGGTCCGAACTTGAGCGCCGCTTCCAAATGCATGATCTCGGCTGCTTTGAAATGGCTGGCTTCGCGAGCAAGCGGAGAAGGCATCGGACAATCCCAGAGTCAGACGTCTTGCCTGGGCCGGTGAGCATGCACCAATGCTCAAAGCTTGATGCGTGTAGCGACTTGGCGTCGGGCCGTAGTAGGGATTGATCAGAAGCGAGGCATCCATCCCAGCAGCCTGCCAAGCACAGGAGCGTTAGAAATTAGCGGGTGCCCTTTTAATGAAGAGAGCCGAGTGGCGAAGCCCTTCTCCGTGGCCCAGACGGCCTCATGCGGAGCCGGACAGGCGAGAATGGTGCTCGAGTAGAGAAAGCCAACAGCAGAAAAAAACAGGCTAATGCCTCTGCAGTGTGGTTGCTGCCAGTATTTCCGACCTCTGCAAACGGTCTGCGGTCACCAGGCGTCGGCGCCGTTTAACAGAGCGCTCGAGAATTGGCGAATCTTTGCACGAGCCGCCGGCGATGAGGATTCGGCCTCCGAATTTGGCCTGCTGGGCATCTGGAAGGAAGCGAAGAAGGGCAGATGCAATCAATAAGTCCTTCGTGTGCGCGATGAGGTTCAGGTGTTCGTCCCAGGAAAGGAGGTGACCCTCCCCCGTCGTGCCGCCAACAATCAAGCCTTCGACCTTGATGTCTTCGGGACCATCACAAGAACTCGGATTCGACATCACTGTTGCCGGACACTGAGAAACGAGCTCCATTGGCGATTTGGTGCTCCACAATCTTTTCGTAAGCCTCGAAGCAACAGACTCCCCAGTCAAATGGTTAATTCAAGCCATGCTCGTCCTACCTCGAGATCCACCTTTCCATCGGGAAGATAAGGCGTCTTCACAGCTGTGATGAGCCTCACCTGCACAACCGTCCCCATGTGAACTGAGGTCAGCCCTCGGCCAGTTCTCACAACATGCTCAAACTCTCTGTGCGCTGAATTTGCTGCGCGTCCAGAGAGGTCATCCCTTCCCCTGGGTGTCTCTCGCACGGTTTAGGGCCGAGGTCCGAGTTCGATGTGACACGGAAGTTTCATCCTCCAGACCCGGATACAGCTTATGCTACGGCCCCCACGAGCGGCTCTACTCCGGTTCAGTGTTCAGCTGCAGGCCCGTCAAAAGCACTCACACAATCTCACATCATGTTGCTCCCCCGGCTTTACTTTTCATCATTGCCTGGACTGCAAGCTGACTACGACATCTTTTCTCTTTCTGATTCCTGAAGCCTTCGCCTGGTGAGTCTCGATTCCTGCCTTCGTGTCTCTCTCTCACTGTCACGCACACCCTCGCACACACTCAGACGTAGTCCGACCTTTCGCAGAGCAAGGGTCGCCTCGGACATGGCTCAGACAGCTAGGCCCGCTAGGCTAGCCTTCACTGGCAGCCGAGGCAGGGAAGAGGCCGCAGCAAAACACCAAAAACTAGCACTACTCTCTGGCTCTCCAGCTCTGCACTTCACGAGTCCCAGCGCGTCTCAAACGTTCCGATGAGCGCATTTTTCAAACTGGAGGCGGACCTGGACTAGAGTCCTAGCTGAATCGCACGGACAGCCTTGCCAAGCCGAATGATTTTATTCTTGGGTCCTTGCAACTTATGCTTCGCGACAACACCGTGTCTGAGTTGGTGGTTTAGGATGATGCAATTTAAGATTTCATGTCCACTGAGGATTACCCAACTCAGTGCGCGGTATGCTAGCTACTTCCACGAAGCTGGATGCATGGCCCAGTCATGAGGCATTTGCTCACGAAGCCGTACGTACGTACTTTGACAAGAGACGCTAGTACGTCATGACATAAGGAACTCGAGCAAAAATCAGTGGAACGCTGGCTGCGCTGGGCGCAGGCTGCCTGCACTTCACCTGCGCAATTGTCGTGATGGCCATGCAAATACTTTCTCACATCAGGCTTGATGCTGGCGTGGTAAGCGGGCGAAGTGCCGGCAGGCACAACTACTCGAACTTCTGACATGCGGCTCCCAGGCACAGGGTTCATTGGGCTCCAATTACTTGGCGTGCGTCGCCAGGGAAGCGATGCCGAGTTTAGCAGCTGTGAAATCAAAAAACAAGGCGCTTCCGAATGCGCCAGGCCCACGTCATCTTGTCAGGTACACATCATGCTAATCCGGACTGCTTGAGAATCCTTCGTGCGTCCAACAGCCCAAGCTTGTTGGAGGTCCCTGGCAAGGTGGTGGGACCTTTCAAATCCAAAGCGCAACAACCTTACACTCCTAGGTGTAGAGGCCGCTGCCAGTTTCCTTCCTACGTTGACCGCTCGTTTGGAGGGCTCAGGCGAGCTGTTTGCCGCTCCTTTGGACAAGCGTCCAGTCAAACGATTTTATCATTCGTGGCACGCGTCCATTGACATGTGGCACGAGCATGTTGCAAACTGGTGTTGCAACGAAGATGGGGCTTTGGGGGTTGTCATTATCAAGAAACTTTTCTACATTCAGGTCACAGGCTGGGCACAGCTCTGCGCGTGTGAACCGCTCATGCAGAATACCGGGTGGTTTTGTCGAAACAGAACCGGCGCCGAGCAGTTCACTGCGAGCTATGCTACTATGCACACATGGGCCGAATGATCGGAGTGACGCAAGCACACAGTGTCACCTGCTTATAGACGAGACGGCATGACAAACAAGGCTACCCTTCTAGGCGTGAAGTCGCTCCGGTCACATCCCGTCGCAGATGACCATGGCTTGATACACTTTCCGCGCACCTCAAAGGGACACAGCAGCACAAGGTCTCAGGCGAGCTGATCTTCCTTTGGTGTGCTGGCATGTTCAGACCTCTTTTATTACAGATGCATCTGCTGCTACCCGAAGTGCTGGCCTGGCTCGCACCACACGCAGCAGCTCAGATTCCCACGCTTTCAAGCGAGTTTGACGCGCCACTGGCTTTGATGCGTGTCTGTCTCAACCTCGATGCCTCTCAGCAGGGCCAACCCCGCGACGTGAACGCAGACTGCGGAAACAGAACGAATGAACAGAGACAGCGGAGTTTTTCCTTCATGTCCGTACCGACCTGGTATGGACATCAACCACTTCTTGAGGCTGCCATCGTTCCGCCTTACTCTAGCGGACACGAGAATGCTCTTCGCCTTTGCTTACAGACGCTGAATGAGGCTGAGCTCTGTGCCTAGTGTTCTCTCGGACATACATGTTGAAGCTTGGAGCTACCTTCAACACGACAGATTCACACACTGGACTTCAACCGTGAGCTTGTTTGATCAAGATCTTCCAGGTCGTTGTGGTCAGCACTTGCGCAAGGACGTGTTTCGCAGCAAAGGGGCTTTGCCAGCGAGCCAAACGCCATCCACAGAGCCGCCTCTTCCTGCCATCTGACCCAAAACATCTGGGGACAAAGGGCCGACAGTCACGAACATCAAGAATGTCTGGCGAGGGCGGTTTGCACTCTGCTGGAAAAGCTTAGTGCAACTCTTCTTGGGCATGCGAAAAAAGTGGGAATGAAGCGAGCACGGTCTCGCTCTCTCGGTGTCGCTCTGTCTCTGAGCAGCCCCGAAGTTGTTCTGTGGCCTTCCACCAAGTCTCGAACTGTACGCTGGAGGTCTTGAACTTGAGCCTGCCTGAGTGGAGGGCACGTGCTGCAACGTTCTGCTGCAAAGTATCGGCGCCCCACGCATCTGCAGCTGCTGGCTCTTTCGCCTCGCGGAGGTGTCATGGTGAACTGATGCACACTGTAAGCTCGTCTGACGGTCAGCCCATGTGATCAAATTTGCCTTGTAGCCGGCAGGCTGCCACCTGCACGAAGCAAATCTCGACATTCTCGACTCGGCTGAGACCTGTGCGGCCTCCTGGTTCTGTAGGAGGATACTTCCTGTCATGCAAGGATCAGCCTTGCACGGCTTTCCTAAGCTCTTCTAGCTAGACATGCATCAATGCCTTCAACACAACAGACGCGCGCTGCTCCTCCAGCTGCTCTTCCTCGTCGTCGTCCTCAGCCTCATCATCGTCATCGACTGCATCGTCCTCGTCATCGTCGTTGTCGTCATCCTCCTGAGCTTGTCAAGACAGCATAGATCTCTCCCAATCTAGTGTACTGTAAATGCGCAGTCCTCCTCACAGTCCTCCTCGAGCTCCTGATCAAAACAAAGAGCTGTCGTCTTCTCCAAGTAGAGTGGTTGCATTCTCTTGTGGCCTCATCTTCATGCTCTTCAGCTGCCCTCTTTCCACCTCAGCAACTTTCAACAACGAGAATCTTTCAAGGAGAGCTGGAGCCCCGGGCTGTTCTTCACTTTCCAGGTCGTGCGGAAATCTCTGGTGTTCCTGCGTCTCCGAACCTCACAGTCACAGAATGGGTCCGGGTCCAGGGTTCCTCCCCCATGTCTTTACAACATCGGCTCTGGGTGGCAAGACCGGCTGACAGGGAGGCCTGCGACCATTAATGCCAGGCAGGCCTTGAATTTGGGTCGCTTCGATTGAAAGCGCTTCCACAGCCATACTCAACAAGGGCTGTGCGCATGCGAAGCTCCAACGATGGAGCCTGCACCGAGACCTGCAGGAGGGTGATACTGTAGAAGGATCCCATCGCAGAACTGTCATGACCAGCCTGCTTTTCCACCTCCCCACAGACATCACACCATACCTGCTACAAGCCATCCCATCCCAGGCAATGGGACCATGCCAGTATGCTGCAAGAAGGAAAGCTCCGGACCGACTCTGTCAGGATCTGTAGCGGGCCACTCACCTCCAGTTCGCACAGCGGCCTCTCAGGCTCCAGAAAAAACACGCCCGTCGCCTGGGGCATCTCCGTGAGCTGCTCCGGCGCGGCGGTAGACCTGAAAACCGAAACGCAACGGTCACTGGCCGCTTTGCACCACTTCCCACACCAACTCTTCTCCCCACAGTAAACATGCCAGCATTTCTCTGCGCAAGGAGCTTCCGCCTCTGCTCTTGTAGCAGCTCGAGATACACGGCTTCCGGGCCCTCCGGGCCTCCGGAGCCTCCGGGACCTTGGCCTTGCACGCGGCACACCTGGCCGAAGCTGCAAGGGCAAGGCTGAGACACTGCCCATTTCGCACCCAGCTCTTGCATGCTCTCGCTCTGTGCTGTAGGCCGTGGAATGTGCGCGCAAACTTGCCGGAATCACATGTCCGGAGCAAGCTCATCCTTCACATTGACAGGTGCTGGGCCGTCCAGGAATTAACCCAAAATCTAAAATCTCTCCGCCTCTCCAGTGGAGCCGTTCTTGCAAGGACTCCTTAAAGCTTGTGTTTGAAGTCCGGCTTCGCTTCGCCGGTCGCGATATCGCAGAGGGGCTGAGTCCCTCGCCAGCGCAGGAGCCCGTCCACCTCAAAGCTTGAGTTGACGAATCGTCTCCAAATCAAGTCTTCGAAGCCACTCCAAGGACAGGACATATTTTGCAAATCGACCTACCTCGATCACGGCAAGAAATTCTCTCGCTCTGCAAGCCGAACGTAGCTGATGCTGAGAAGCCAACGATGAAGTCGGGTGTTCTTTGTCCTAGAACTCGGAACTGTTGAAGAGCTGCACTTCGCTCCTGAAGCAAACTTCTGCTGAAGCCAGGTAAGCGGGCTACTTGGACCCGTTCCTTGCTTGTCTTGAGTTGGCCCAAAATGCGTATGATTTCCGTACCTAGGAGCATGCCACATCATGATATCCATGTAAGTGCTCGATCAGACAGTAAGGGTCGGTCGTTCCTTGCTATTGAAGTGGAAGCGGCGCCTGGGTTGGCTCTGCGACAGCAGGGAAAGAAGAGAATTGGCCGGCAGAGAAAGGATGGAAAGAGCGACAGAGAGGAAGACAGAGACGAGCGGACGGGCAGGCAGACGGACAGGGGGCGAGAGAGACAGACTCAGAGGGAGAGAGAGGTTGAAAGAAAACAAGAAGAGAGTCTGAGGATCCAGCATGAACTCATCTCTTCGACGAAGAGTCAAGCGACTCTCCTTTCAAAAGCAGAATCATGCGGCCATCCGCAAGGCATGCAAAACGCAAAGGTGCTGCATGCGTCTGTTCATAAACTGAGGACTGAACATGAAGCTCGTCCATGTCAGCTCGGCGCTGTATCCTGAAGTGCTCAGAAGGTGATTGGCCTCTCACTCTGCTACCTGTGTACGGGATTGTAACTTGCACTCAGCAGGGCATCGCCTGACAGGAGGCAGAGGGAAGTATGGCTCGCGAAGCACCTGGAGCCCTGCACTAGCAGTAGCCGGATGTTCAATAGCTGCTGAGATTTGAACGAGTGCCGGTTCCCGTGGCCATGACTTTCCTGCACAGACAAAGATGCCAAAAGCAGAAACACGACAAGCCACCGACAAAACATATGGCACTTCACCGACACATCTCGGACAGAGGTGAAGAATATTGGCTTCATTGCAATGTTTCGAGCTGCGCAAGTCTGCTCACCTCCGGATGAAGAAGCACCTCACCTGGCAGCAAGACGCGTCGCAAGAAGGCGAAGCTTCCAAGAAGCCGAGTTCTAAAGCACTGTAACTTGCAACATCGATGAGGGGAAGACACAACTGCCGTGCAGATTCAGGAAGCCGTGCGCTGGATGTCCTTCGATTGAAACGTCCCTTTCGCCCACGACATCCTTTGCTTTCCGGTCCTGTCCAAGCTCAGCTCATGGAGCAGAACACGACGCCTTGGGGGCCCAAGCAAGTGCTCTGCATTGCTCTGCATTGCTCGGCTGTACCTGATAATCGCATAAGTGCCGCACAGTTCTGGAGGCAGGTGGCAAGCAACAGCAAAGGGATCTTCCTGAAGTTGCTGAAACTGGTGAGGCGTCGAACCATGCAGCAAGGAGACTCTCCTTCTTCTCCGACTCCATAGAATCCATGGACAGCAATGTACCTCATGCAGGAAGAGCTCCTCCTGACTTGCACCTGCTCTTGCTCTGGATACTGAGGTACAAGCAGCGCAAGTAGCATGCATGTAGGAATAACCGTGGGCAAATCTCGGCCTGTCAGCTCATGTCGGGTAAGACTTGGACAGGAGCAGACAAGCTGCAAAAAAGCTGGGCCCAAAACATCATCTTTTGCCTGGCAGACCAGTGGAAACGTATCCAGACGGGAGGAGACTGCGCGTTCGTCGCCTTGTGGGGGTTGTACCGAGCATCGGCGACTATGGGATGCCCAAGCGACGCCATGTGCAGACCTCAATTTGTATGTTTGGCAAACGCACTACATGCGAGCAATGAAACACAGAGCAGAGTCTAGGCATCCGGAATCAGGTAGCAGATACTGTTTCGGCATCGCGCATGTTGCTTCATTACATGCACAAGCATGACAAGCCTTGATGATAATGATTCGATAATGAGCCCAGTGCACTGCATGTGCATCCACTCAGACTGATATTTTGCTCTCTGCTTGAATTTGCCGTCTCGCGCAGCTGTGATCAACGGCAGGGATGCACACATATTGCTGGATTCATGATGCGGAGGCCGGGCTGGATGTATCGTGGTCGACCTGGATCTCTTCGCGGACTCGCAGCAGACTTCATCGTCTTCAGAATCCGCGCCAACTTGGCCCGCTGTTGGTAATGCTCCGGATCCCCGAACCTGCAGCAAATGATCCAGTTTCTCCACATCCGCCCATGTGGCCTTCAGATGCCTCCAATTCGCTTGAAACTTGTGGGCCTACGCGAGCTCCTGCGAGCATTCGCCCAGGGCATGTTTCACGCAAAGCCTTGATGATCTTGACCTGATGAGGAGGTAATGGGAGGTGCTTCTCCCTTTGAAATCTGTCCAGCAGCTTTTCTATTGTGGAAGGACAGTCATGGAAAGCTGAGTCGAACTAGCCATCGCCAGGACTCTGGCTGTTGCGGGCAGCTTGCCAGCGCTCAACCTCGCCCTTCAAGCCCTCGGCTCTGGCGCGCAGCATCGCCGCCTTGTCGCCGAGCCCATCGGAGGTTCCTGCAGCTCCTGCACCTGACGCGTCGCCCACCGGCCCTGCGTGCCCGGAACTGGGCACCGGCAGCGAAGGGACTGGGCCCTGACCTGTCACAGACTGCGTTCATACAGTTTCTTGGTTTTATATACACGGAAAACCCACAAAAGCAAGGAAGGAAGTTCTGAGGGCTTCTTTGGCTTGTGAATTTTGGGCCCCCGGCTCTGACCTGGTCCTCTGTCGAAAGTTCGGCCGAGCCTCTCCCTTCTCGCATCGTTTGTAATGGCCAATGGGGTTCCCATGGCAGATACTGCCACAGTAGCCCGGCGCTCTGCATCAAAGAGCTGATCTGTCAGGTCCTTCAGGTGTGCTTCCTTCTGGGCCTGGTCATGCCTCAGCCTTCGAAGTTCCTTCTCCGCATCTTCTGCACGGTGCATGATCGACGCACCCCTGGCAGCCTCAGCCCGCACCTCGGTCAGGGCAGATCGCAGTGTAGCAGACTCGGCTGCACGTGCCCGGTCTGCAACGAGCTTCATCTGCTCAAAGGCAACCTCTTCCTTGCTCAAGTCGTGCCGGAGGCCCAAGGCCTCCTTGCGCATGGCAGCCGCCTCAGCACGCAGCGCACTCGCCTCGGTCGTGGCCGCGTGAATCGAGGCATCGCGCTGGTCAAGGAGGCATGCCTCCTCCTGGCGACTGGCATGCATCAGCTGAGCTTCTGCAGCTTCGCCTTCGGACCAGCCTTCGGTCTCCGCAAAGTAAAACCAACCCGCAGCTTGCAACTCGAGGGCTCGCGTTGCTTGCTCCTGGGATAGCTCTGCACGGGCTTCGGCAGCAGAAACCTCCTCCTCCCCAAGCTTAACCAAAGCTGCTTCCCCCTCTCCGGCCAAATGCAAAGCTTGTTGTGCCTCTCCTAACCTGCCGGAAGAGTCTTGTGCTTCTTCTTCCATCCAAGCACGCAAGGCCAACAACTCACTGCGGCTGGCATCCATAAGATCTTGCAAAAGTAAACGAGCTTCGCCGGTTGCCGCCTCGGCTCGTTCGGCTTCTGACTCTGCCATGAGTTGGCAAGTGGCTTCGGCCGCTAGGGCAGTACGCAGCATGTCCTCAGTGTCCTTTGCACCTTGAACAGCAGATAGAACTGCCATCTGGTTCTCGTCTCGTAAAGCGCGCCGTATCTTTTCCAACTCGACCTGCGATTCATCCTCCTTTGATAGTCGCTTCTCTGCTGCTTCCAGCAAGGATCGGAGGCGAGGCAGCTCCGTTACTTCTTTCTTCAGTTGTTCCACCTGGACCTCCAAGTCTTCAACTTTGCTGTTGGAGGCCTCAGTATGATCAGCAGAGTCCTCGATCAAAACAACTTTCATGCTCTCTTCCTTCGCAGCAACCTTACCATCCATCACTGCTGGAGCCGCATTCGAAAGCTCGTCTCCCGCCCACGCCGAAGATGACAGGCCCCGTTGAAGAAGCTCCTCCTCCAGCTGATGACCCCGCTCGACGGCTCTTTGCAACTGCTGCCTCAGGCCGGCTTCCTGCTCTGAGGACTCCTCTGCAACCGCGCGCAGGGCGGCTGCTGCAGCTTTGCGACGCTCGACCTGCAAGCGCTTGCGCCAACGCTTCTCCTCCTCCTGCATCTGTGCCAGAATTTCCGCATGCAGCTCCACGGTCCGTGGATTAGGACCGGTGGCTTCGGCAGGTGCAGGTGGAGGAGGCGCAGGAGGTGCATGGGCAGAAGCTGCCTGCCGCATCTGCAGACCTTCATGCCGGCCTTCCATCAGAGAGCGCCTGCCTTCTGCATGAGACCTTTGCAAGGCCTCGGCCGCCTCCTGCGCCTCCTGCGCCTCTGTCTCTGCCTGCGAAACAGATTGCTCCAGCTCTGCGTACTTCGCCTCCATCTGCGAAACAGCAGCCTCCAAGTCTGCGAGGCTGTCCTCGAGTTCTGCTCGGGAGGGTCTGGAAAAACCCTCCACAGGATCTGCTTCCGAGAACGGCGAGCCGACGGAGAACTGCGGACTTGCACGTCGTGAAGGCAGCATGGCTTCGTCTGGGCGATGCACAGCTTCACTCGGCGATGGTAAGTTCGAGGGGTCATCTCCAAGAATATCTGAGAAACCAGGAAAGCCAAAGGAAGGCGAGGGCAAGGGCAAAGGTGAGGTAGAGCGGCCGGTTACAGCAGGTGGGGATCTCGGCGGTCGCGCCGACCCCTGAGCAACAGAGCCCACGGTGATGCTCGGGCTGCGTGGGGGCAAAGGCCTCCGGCCCGGGGTCAACTGTCGCTGTCGCCCAGGTCGTCCGGACTCTTCCGATTCTGATGCCCCTACAGTCGGTGAGGAACTTCTCCCCGGACGCTTCTCCGTCTGCCCTTTTGAGCCCTCTTGCTTCTCCGAACGTCTGGCGGAGCTGTCCCGAACCTCCGAAACGGCGACCTCAGCCAACTCTTCGCTTTGCAGTTGGAAGGCCAGGCGTACACCGAGCAGCTCCTCCTCCAACTGCTGCGCTTGTTGCTCGCTTTGGAGGGCGGCCTCGCCCAAGAGCTCCGTCGAGTCTAAGACCTCCTTCGAGAACGGCGCTTGATGGATCGGGTGGAGTTTACGGGGGTCTGCAGTTCTGCAATGATAGGTAAACCAAAACACAGCATCCGGAACCTAAACATTCGACGTTCTCTCCTGGAAAGTTCCCTGCTGTTCGGACAACTTCTCGCTCTGGAGCTGGATCTGTGCTTCGAGACGGTTGACTTCCTCCTGCATGTCCGGGACGGGGGGATCTTGTTCTTGCAGCAGCTGTGGGTCCTAAGCAGCATCTCCGATTCACAGAGACAAGTGGAAGCTTCACAACGAAGCATAGAAGCTTATACAATAAGGTAGCCCTACTGTAATGTTAAGAAACCCCAAACTCTCCAAGCAGGGATCTGCCGTCTGGTCGGACCGCAACGGGCTGCGAAGCTTCGGCATCATGCTTTCGCCATGCCAGTCACCGCTGATGGAAAGCAAGGCAATCTGAACCTTGTCGAGGTCGTCCTCAGCGATCTGTCTAAAAGACGACACTGCCTAGTGAGTACTCCAAGGCTCCTGCAGCACAAGGTTCACATTTCCTATGTTACCCGGTCAGGAGACTTCAAGTGTGGACTCAGGGAGCAGTTAAGAAACAGCAAGCGTCACAGGAACAAAAATATTATCGCCGTCATGGCCATGACGGCAGGAATCCTACGACTACCGATTGCGGCAATAAGCGTTGTCGTGGTCGTGTTCGCAGTCACTGTCGTCATCTTTGCACCAATAGGTGCAGGACAGGTATAGTGGTAGTGGTAGTGGTAGTGGTAGTGGTAGTTGTAACGGTAGCGGTAGTGGTAGTGGTAGTGGTAGCGGTAGAAGTAGTGCTGGGAGTAGTAGTAGTAGTAGTAGTAGTAGTAGTAGTAGCAGCAGCAGCAGCAGTAGCACTAGCAGTAGTGGTAGCAGCAGGAGTAGTAGTAGTAGTAGTAGTAGTAGTAGTAGTAGTAGTAGTAGTAGTAAATAGCAATAGCAACAACGGTAAGCAAAAATCGTATTGACAGTACTAGTACTGATAAGGAATGCTTCTTCTT